AGGGAAGAAAGGCAAAGGAAGAATGGGGGAGGGAATGAAGGAAAGAGAGAAGGATGAAACCAAGTAGTGAAAGAAGGAAAGAAAGAAAGAGGTAGAGAAGGAAGAAAGGAGAAAAAGGGGAAGGAAAAGGGGGAAGGAATAGGTAGGTACCTCTCTTTCATAATAGTCCAGATATCTACCTCAACTTTGATAAGTTTTACTATAGGCGACAGCAACGCGTGGCAGGGCACAGCTAGTTATCTGATAAAACAAGGGCCTCTCTCCACAATTTCAGAATGAGATCTACACACAAATGCATGCATACACATGCAAATATCGCTAGTTTCCCCAGTTTGCAACCAACTCTACGGATTTCATCACACGCAAGATCTCTGAATCCCACCCATGGGAGAAAAGTGGAAGAAAAAAATGAATATAATAACAATAATAATAATAATTTTCACACACTTTTAAAACAGTTCATAGACAAAGCAACACGTACCCCTTCATATGACGTAAGGGGACTTCTGTCTCTCACCTGTGCTGCTTCGTCTTTGAACTGTCTGAAGTGTGGGGAAACGAGGAACTTGAGCTGGTTAGAAAGCACCTTATGAGCTCCCAATGCATGTGGAAGAAAGGGCGGGGGTGGAAACGTGGGATGGGTTCTGTCCCATGTTGAATCACTTCAGTAACATTGAATAATGGGCATTCATGGGTGGTCCCCTTCTGAGTCTTGATCCATTTCTCATTCAAAATCCTGCATCTGGGTTGGTAATTTTTAATTAATTTAATTAATAGAAATAACACAATCTCCAGATATCACAATTCCATTATTTCTGATATTTCTGCTTCATATTATACCAGGCCCTTGAAATTGTGCTACTGTAGGTTTTAAAACTTTATTTTATTTATTTTTAAAATATACTGAAGTTGTGCCTAAGGTAAAGGTAAAGGTTTCCCCCTGACATTAAATCCAGTCATGTCCAACTCTGGGGGTTGGTGCTCATCTCCATTCTTAGCCGAAGAGCTGGCATTGTCCATGGACGTCTCCTAGATCAGGTGGCCGGCATGACTCCATGGCTGGCAGAAGCTGGGGCTAACAATGAAGTTCACCCTGCTCCCCAGATACCTATTGATCTCACATTTGCATGCTTTCGAACTGCTAGGTTGGCAGAAGCTGAGGCTTACAGAAGGAGCTCACCCTGCTTCCCAAATTTGAACCACCAACCCTTCGGTCAGTAAGTTCAGTAGCTCAGAACTGGGCATAAAAGAGACTTTGTAAAAAAAAATTGCCCAGAGGCATTGTGAACTGAGTTATGGGTGTGCTTTAAAATCTAGCAACAGCTCTGAATCAGTATTTCTAAAACTTTTTGACACCCAGGTTTGACTTATGACACAAACACAAAGACAAGTCTAGGCATGCAAATATAAGTTATGGACTTTCCCTATTATACCATACTGAATGGTTTAATGGCATTAATACCTTTTGAGAATGTTGTAATGACATTAAGGGTCACTTTTCCAACAGAGCTGCAACTTATAGAGGGGGTCGTCCAGAGCCAGAAGGTGCTTTTAGAATCTAGACAGAAAGCTCTACATTATACAGCATTGTGCAGTTTCCTGACTTTCTCAAAATGTGAAAAAGTTACATTTTGTTGGAAATGGCAACCTTCTTCAAGCCTCCACTAGTAATTTGTTTGTATATGATTCTGTTTGCTTACTGTATTGTATATGTATGCTTTGGTATGCAGCTTTCCCTTGACTCTATGTTTCTTTAGGTTGTGGGAGGGGTTGCAGATCACATGATCAGATCTGGGACTGCTCAGACCTCAAACTCCATTTTAGATCAGAGACGCTATTAGACTTTGGACTGTTAAAAGCAAACTCATATTGCTGTTGATTGTAAGAAAGATGCCATGTGTTATCTGGACAGAGAAACTATTTCAAATCCATATGTAACTGGATTGACAAGTTATGTACCTGTATACTGAATATATGAAGGTTGTGAGTAAACCAGATATGTTACTTTTAACGAAGTCTACTTTATTTTTGTCTCTTGGGATATTTTATGGGAGAGTAGATGTTTTTGGGCACTGAAGAAAACAATTATGAAGAACTGCTATATTTTGTGCATTGGCATAATCTCTGTTCCTAACAGATCAGAGATAACCAAGTTTGCATAAGTCCATGTGGTTATGTACGATTGAAGAAAAGATTTTACTCAAATTAGTTTTTTGGTTCTTCTCTGGAAGATCATACTTTTACAAAAGGTTATGCTTTTCGAATGGTTGTGAATGCCATTGTTCTCCAAAAGGTTATGGAGATTCTGGCTTTCCAAAAGGTTATGATCTCTATAAGGTCATGCCTTTCCAAAACATTTGGAGTTGGTGGGCTCCCAGAATTCCTACAGTCACACAATTTCCATAATTTCTAATCCCCCTGCCCTCCCATAATAGGTTGGTAAGGAAAGAAAAGAAGAAAGAAGAAAATACAGGAAGGTTACGGGTGACGTCTCACTGCCACCATCAAATTTGTGAACAGTGCAAGCTGACTACATAACAAAAGACTTATCTAAAAATGCATATAGATTGGAAACAAAAAGCAGTTGATTGATAAGGATCCACTGAAGTTGCCTTCTTGGAACGACGTATTTTTTCTCAACTGATTTAAGCTCAATATGTCAACCCTGAAAACTATTATCCTTATTGTAGTGAAACTCATTGTAGTCCCTAAATGTTCTGACCCTCTCCCAGAACAGAAACTTTCTTTGCAAGAGGGTGGAGTGAAGTAAATTGTATGGAAATGAAGGGTTTAATAGCGTCTCCCCCAATATCAAGTCCTCATCTCAAACTGTTGCTGCATAACTGCAAAAGTTCAATGGACTGGGTATGCATTCATGTTCCCAGAGAAGTATTAAGTTTGCTGGAATAACTCTAGTCTTGTCTGACGAGAGGTCAACCCAAAACCAAGTCAGTTTTCTGACCACTGAACAGCATGAGCTTATCTAAACAACAAACAATCTGGACCGTGTTTTCCAGGGCAATCCCCTAGTCAAAATCTGAATATGCAACCACTAAAAAAGTGCATGAGGACAATCATCACTGTGCAGGAACTTACCACAGTGTATCTGCCACATATTTTCTACAGTGTCAGCTGTCTCCCCTTCTGCTTTGTCTCATGAGAGAGAGAAAAGTGATATTTGCTTCCATCCAAGCCATAGTCACTCAAGTATTTCTAATCACTCAATCATGGAGCCACTTGTCACATTCAGAGCTTTGGAAGACATTGGTAGCTGGATGATTTTGCCATTGTAATCTTAAGAAGCAACTTACCTAAGTTTTGCCTTGAATGACATGATGATGACATGTAAGGTGCTGGTCTCTTGCACATCATCTTTCAATCTACATGTGTGTGTTATAGGCATATAAGGCCTACAAGTCATTTTTGACTTATGATTCGGAAGCAAATTTGTTTGCCTTTGTTTTCTCATAAACTGAGAGTGTGTTACATGTACAAGGTAACCCAACAAGTTTCCATGACTGATTTTGAACCCTGGTCTTCAGAGTCATATTCCAATTGTTAGCCCACTACACCACACTAAGATCCCTGCTATACTGCCATATAAACTCCAGATTGTCTGCTTAGAACTGGAATATATGGCAATGTAAACTCATATAATCCAGTTCAAAGCAGATTATCTGCTTTGATAGCCTGGATTATATAGCAGTGCATACAGGGCCTTAGTCTCTAAACTTTACCTATTTCAGGTGCCTTATACACTGCCATAAAAAATCCAGGTTACCTGCTTTGAACTGGATAATCTGCCAGTATGGACTCATATAATCAGTTCAAAGTAGATAATGTGGATTATCTGATTTGATAATCTGGATTATATGGCAGTGTAAAAGGCCTCGGTTCTAATTCTTATATCAGCATTAGATTCAACTAGTCTGTTGTTGCTGTTCATTAATGGCAAAGGAATCTATCTCACCTTAACATTGTGGTTTTCTAAGTACAAAATAGCACAAATTAAATTCTGACATGATTCTATGGCCAATTCTATACTGCCATACAATCCAGATTATCAAATCAGACAATCCACATAATCTGCTTTGAACTACATTAAATGAGTCTACACTGCCATATAATCCAGTTCAAAGCAGATAATCTGGATTTTATATGGCAGTTTAGAAGGGGCCTATGGGAGGTGCCACTTACGACCTCATCAGACAAGGTGAAATCAACGTTCTAGGATGCTTTCACCCTGTCTGGAGGATGGAGGCCCATGCTGGACAGCACATGATGTCACATGACTTCTGTCATAGGCCTCACCCCCAATTGAGGTGAAAGCATTGCTGCGTGCTTTCACCCCAATATGAGAGGCTTCCCCACTAGGGCGACACATTCCCCATGTGATGGGAAAGTGTCGCGAGAGGGAGCTGCGCATGGGGTGACAGGGTCACCGTGTTCCTTCCTCTTTTGTGGTGGAAGCCTTGTGAAGTGGGGTGCTTAGCCTAGGCTTTTTGATACAGTCGTCTATTATATATGCATTGTCTTCAGTTAAAACATTTTGGTCATAATTATGAAGGATAATTTTTCCCTGTTGTTTTTCCATGGTTTCCTTTGCGGATATAAATCTCAGAAAGCTAAATACACACAAGTGAGAGAGAGAATAAAATTTGAAAGAAGAAAATTGTGACCCACACAATCTACACTCAAAGCATCCCTTCCCCAAATATACCCATTATCAATTCAGTACTGTGAATTTCCATTACTGATTTTAACCCTGGTCTCCAGAGTCATAATTCAGTGCTCAAACCCCTACCTCATGCTGGTTCTTTTTATTCTGCATAGTGGTCACTAAATTTATTTTGCCATCTAGGTGCCTTCCAGATGTGTTGGACTACAACTCTCAATACTCTCAGATTATGCTGACTGTGATTGGAGGTATAGACCAATCTAGAGATGCCATATCTATATATCTAGAGATGCCATATCTAGAGATATAGACCAATATATCTAGAGATGCCATGTTGCTAGTTCAGTATAGACATTGCTACACTGGGATCATAAAGTTAGCTATTGTCTAAGTGATAAAAGTAGTTCCATTATAAACTGACTTAACACCTGCTCTTTCTTATTGTAACAAAGAAATTAGAAAATACATACCAGCATATCAGCTCTGTCACACAATAGGCACAAGAATTTAAAAAACAACAATAACATGCTGTCCTCTTTGACAGAGTGTGGATAAGCTACTCATAGGAATATGTGAGTTTACAGCTCATGAAAATACTACCTTTGTACACACAAAGCATCTCAGGACAAGTTCTGTTACTGTAACCATGAGGGAAACTAAATGTCTGCTTTCAGAACATGAATCAGGTATGATGCATCAGAGGGATAATATTTGCTTCACTATCGATATGTCATAATGCATGTTTAATTCGTAACGTGTTGCTAAATTTTCCGTTTATCCATGCAATCATCTGGGTTGGATTGCCTAAGTCAACAAAAAAAAAATGATTCCCTAGAGAGAGGTGCATTTCTTCTGGCAATATATCACTTGGCTCTAAATCTGGGCAGAGAAGAACTTTGCAGACTGGAACTCTTCATTCATGGAACCGTTTTTTATTGTTCTTTCTCCCGCCTACAGCCTCCTATGACCACAAAGATCTGTCTGGAGGAAAGGAATGAAAGATTGTGATGAATGATATGTTATAATAAAAGCAAAACTCCTACAGCATTTGCAATTTACTGTTTATTTATTTACTGTATTTACCCCTCCCTACTCATACTGAAGGGGAGTAAGAGCGGCTTACAATTAAAGTACTCTTTGCAATCTCTGCAAGAGATATCCTGTATGTTCAGCCCTGAGATAGTAACCTGGATACATGATCACATAGGAATAATCTGTGCCGTATTTCAGGGGAAGGGACTTGGAAAATCACATATGACTATTCTTTGCCTAAGAAAACCGTATGAAATTTGTGTAGTGTCTATAAGTCAATAGGGAATTTCAAGGCACATACACATACTCTGTGAGAATTCTGCCAGTGCTCTACTAAATCAGTTAAATGCATTAGCTAAGGACCCCTTCACATTACAGAATTGTAGTGCTATGATTCCATTTGGTCATAGTTATATCCCACTGAATTCTAGGGGAAAGTATTCAGAATCTCAGATGGTAAGCTCTAATACATCCACAAATGACATATCCCAGGATTCCAAAGGAATCATCCATGGCAGTTAAGGTTTATTTATTTTGTATCAATAGCATTGCATAAATTAGTATAAAACTGATAAAACTAGAAGGAGTGCAGGCGGCTAAATATCTTTTGACCAAAAACGGGCAACAGCAACAGCATTGTCTGTAGCCTCTAACAATTCTTCCTCTGTACATGAGGCAGGGCATAGTGGAGTTGTCTGTTCTGCTCCACAATCACACAAGGTGGGGGATTCTTTTGGGTAGTGCCATTTTGTCAGGTTGTCTTTTGATCTGCCCACTCCACTTCTGAGTCTGTTCAGGTACTTCCAAGTTGCCCATTCTTGGTTTGCCCCTGGAGGAAGACCCTCATGGGGAGGCATCCAATTGGCAGTTAAGGTGAAATCATATATAATTACAGTAGAGTCTCACTTATCCAACATAAATGGGCCAGCAGAACATTGGATAAGTGAAAATGTTTGATAACAAGAAGGAATTAAGGAAAAGCCTATTAAACATCAAATTACGTTATGATTTTACAAGCTAAGTATCAAAATATCATGTTTTACAACAAATCAACAGAGAAAGCAGTTCAATGCATGGTAATGTTATGTAGTAATTACTGTATTTATGAATTTAGCACCAAAACATTGCAATGTATTGAAACAGCTGTGGATCCGGGCAGGAGGCAGACTGCGTTGGATAATACAGAACGCTGGATGAGCAAAGGTTGGATAAGCGAGCTTCTACTGTATATAGTTTAAAAGGGCCCTTAGTTAAAGCTGATTCTGTTAAACTTAATTTGCAAGTCTCTGGGTGTGATTTGGTGCCTTACTTATACTGTTTCTTCTTTACCTCTGTCCCATAAATTTCTTTTGAAATATAAATATTTGGATATGTTTTGAATAAATATAAAGATAGACGCTTTTGAACTGTTTTGCTGGAGGAAAATTCTGAGAGTGCCTTGGACTACAAGAAGATGAAACCAGTCCATGCTCCAGGAAATAATACCTGGCTGCTCACTGGAGGGAAGGATATTAGAGGCAAAGATGAAGTATTTTGGCCACATAATGAAAAGACCAGAAAGCTTGGAGAAGACAATAATGCTGGGGAAAATGGAAGGAGGTCCATGAGGTCACAAAGAATGGGAAACGACTGAACAAATTAACAACATGTTTTAAAAGGTGGTTTTTCACTATAATGTTTTAATGTTTTCTATATGGAAGACAGCAGTATTACTGAGCTACCCATTATGTTCTAAGTTTATGTCAAAACACTGTTAATCCTGTCACTTTTGAGTTTGAGAAATCAATTCCAAAACACACTGGTGTATGTGTGTTTCGGGGGGGGGGGGTGTTCAAAAGCTGGACTAATGATATGAGGCTTTGACAGGAAGACTTAGAACTTTCCAATCAGGTGATCAGACCAGGGCAGAAATTAGTAAGAATGTCTTCCCTTGAAATACATGGGTATTTATGGACACTGAACTGTGTCCTGTATACCAGTTGTAAGTTTAGTCAAATTTGGTAGACTTTTCCCACAACTTCAAAGACATTGATTTAAGAAAACATATTTTAACTTGAATGCTAGAATGAAAGCAGTGTTGGCACCAACTGGGCATATCAAGGGAGGGCATTCCACACATCAGAGAAGGTGCTCTCCTACAGAAAATGTCCTTGCACAGTATACGTCTCTCATATTTCCTGTCCACCTTCATCACGTAAAACTGCCCCCTTCTCCCCCTCCCACCTACCCATGGACCACATTAATGACATATTTTAGATGGAACTTATTGGAGATGATATTTGCAACAGGCCTCAGGCAGTGACTACAAATGATCCAGAGGCCACAGCTTATCTATTTGTGGACCTAGATTATGTCAAAAGGTCTAACTTTATTATATGCAGATTCTCAAAATTTCAGGGGACTGGGGCAGGAAATCCTTGTAAAGAAGGGAATCTACCAGTAGGGAAAATCTCCCACTCTTGGGGCTTTTTTCCTACATTCTTTTATACTTCTGCAAATATTGACGTTTCCCCAAAATTGTCGGTACCTCTCTCTCTTGTGTATGAATAGTGCTATTTTGGAAACACTCACATAATGAGTTTGCTTTTGATATATACAGAGCAACAAGGCATTAAGAGATACAGCCCTCATGTCCTGGATGTAAAATCAGGTTAAACACGCTTCATGTTTGACACACATGTGTGAAGGAGGACCTGAGGCTTTCTGACTAGCCTTATATCATGCAGTTCTCACTAATTTTCCAGAAAGGGCATATCAAGTATACATATATGCTTCATCTTTATGTGCTTTAAAAGTACACAGCTGAAAAACCAAAACAAAAGTAGATTCTATTCTTGGATAAATTGCTGTCATACTTTCTCCCAGAAAGTGGCATTAGTTCAGTGATACATTACTTGATACAGTACTTGGGCCGGGCTTTAGCACAGCAGGTTAACCTCCAGCTGCAGTAAATTTTGCCAGTTGAAAGGCTGACAGTTTGAAGCCCAGGTTGGGATGAGCTCCTGGTCCTTAGCCCAGCTTCTGCCTACCTAGCAGTTCAAAAACTAATGTGAGTAAATAAATAGGTACCGCTTTAAAGCAGGAAGGTATTTAAGGCATCCATAAGGAAATGCCAGAAAATGCCGGCAATTTAATCAAGGAGGAAGTTTACAAACAAAGTTCTTTGGCAGCGAAGATGGAGCGACAGCACCCCCCCCCCCCCCCCCCGGTGGCCGGAACCGAGCACAGCCTCCAAGATGCCAAAGATGGGAAAGCCTATATACACCTCTATCTATGTACAGTTTGTCTTATCAGTGTATAACGGCATTGAATGTTTGCCGTATATGTGTTCTGTGATCCGCCCTGAGTCCCCTTTGGGGGGTGAGAAGGGCAGAATATAAATACTGTAAATAAATAAATAAATAATACTTCTGTGATACACATTTTGCTTCTCAGACTCAAATTTTGAGTAATCCATGGGACCTCAGAGCACGGGACAAATGAGGAAAGATGTCATAACAGGGAACCATACTGTGCACTCTGAATCATGCATGAATATTATACTGTGAAGTTTGCAAGGAAAAATTGGCCCAGTGTGAGGAAGCATTTGCTACATACTGTAGATGTGAGCAGTTGTATTTTTAAACTCATACGCTTCACAAATTGAGCAGTGCTGTGAATTTCTTTTATGACAATACATTTTCTCTTTGCATGAAATCGGTACATGAAGTAATAGCCCTTAGAGGCTATTTAGTATACTTTAGGGCCCTTCCACACAGCCCTACATCCCAGAATATCAATGCAGAAAATCCCACAATATTTGAGTTAAAATGAGATATTGTGGGATTTTCTGCCTTGATATTCAGGGATATAGGGCTGTGTGGAAGGGCCCCTAGAGGCATAACTATTTGTTCCAGAATTAATAGGGTTGTTTTTAAAGTCTTCATTTCAAGGGAAATGTGAGATTGGGTTAGTTCACTAGTTACCTATTGGAAACAACACCTCTTTTGAGAATCAGACTTTATCATTTACAAGCCATTAACACTCAACTTACATATAATGCACTAAGAACTATCAAGGGGCTTGATTCTCTTGAAACTTTCCCCATTTTTGTTCTACCTTTCCAAGACTGCCACAGTTTGAGTTTCATTCTAAATGAATGAAAGCTTTTTAGTCAGGCAGAAATTAAAAAAAAAAACAAACAGAAAAAGGAAGAGAGCCTGTTTCTGCCATTTCTCCCTCCTTCCTGTAGTGTAGCCCTATGTGCCATCCACCATGTAGCCACAAAGAGGACACAGCACTCCAGGGCTTGGAGGCAAGGTAACTGTGTTTTATTTTTTTTCTGTGTCAGGAGCGACTAGAGAAACTGCAAGTCGCTTCTGGTGCAAGAGAATTTGCCATCTACAAGGATGTTGCCCAGGGGACGCCCAGATGTTTTACCATCCTCTGGGAGGCTTCTCTCATGTCCCTGCATGAGAAGCTGGAGCTGACAGACAGGAGCTCACACTGCTCCCCAGATATGAACCACCGACCTTTCTTCCTTCTCTCTTTCCTGCCTCAGAATGTGGTGGAGTCTTCTTCTCTATCCTTCCTCTTTCCTCCCTCCTTCCCCCTCTCCCTCTTTTTCCTCCCTTTCTTCCCTTTTGACTTTCCTTCCTTCTCTTTTTCCTCCCTCCCTCCGCTTCCTTCTTCCATTCCCTTTCACCATTCCTTCCTTCCTTCTCTTCCAGTCTTCCTTTCTTCTTTTTTTCCTTCCTCCTTTCCTCATGAGGGATGCTTAGCTGGAAGACGGTAGAGAGGGAACATGAGAACCATGTTTCAAGATTGAAAAGGGTGTCCCATTGAGGAGGACAGGGAAACTGACTTTCTGCTGCTCTAGAGACCAGGACATAAGAGAGCAATGGTTTCAAATGGTAGGGAAAGAGATTCGACTGCAAAGATTAGGAAGAACTTCCTGGAGAGAGGG